GGAGGACCAAGGAAGAAGTGGGCCGCCTGTGGGAGGCAGAGACTGGAACAGGGTGACACAGACACCAGGGAGGCCAATGGAAAGGGGCTTTCAGCACACGCGAAAGAAAACTCATCTCTCTTTTGTTTTTGTTTAACCATACTAACGATTCTTAACATACAAATGAGTCTTCAGAATTACAGTTATCCCAACAACGCCAGTCGGCCGCTGGCCTCAGCAAGTGTCAGGGCTCTCCTGGCCTCGGCCACGGTGGGCGGTCAGACGTCCAGGATCCTGGAGTGCACACACTGCCGGGCTTTCACACAGAGATCCAGCAAGAGCCACAGACAAGGGCACATCTGTCCGCTCCAAATCCCCTGCTGAATTCATCACATCCCTGTTTTCAAAACCTTTACTGATCTCTGACAAAGAACTCGGCTGTTGGGGACAAATAACAACAGGTGAGGACATTGACGTGTCCTGACCAAGGCTGCGACTAGCTCCAGGCTCTGAGGTCACCTATGACAGCGACTCAGCCAGGTCCTGTAAAATGGAGCCCCTGTTTGAGCCATTAAGGAAGGGACCTCCGGTGTCCGGTGCCTCCCACCCCCACCCACCACCAACGGCCAGTCTCTGCGCTGGGCCTTGGCCGTCAGGAGCTCGGCTAATGGTTACACAGGACATTTGCCACCTGGCTGTGTAACCTCCATTCAAAATATGTGCCCTGATTCCCTTCCACCCCACCCTCAGTATCCAACTAGAAAGGACATTTAAGGACTTTGTCTCGTGTCCAGAGAAACATTTAAACGGCCCGAAAGCCCCCAAGCAGGAGAGTCAGGCTGGGGGCATCTCAAGCCACAGCTCCGCCGTCCTGCTCTAGGACAGCAGTGTTCCTCACAGGCAACCCAAAAGTCAGCGGCTTCCCGAAGGAGCCACCCATGGGACCACACCAGGCCCAAAGTAACGTCTTCCTTGGCGCTGCTGGCGAGGCTCTGGCATTCTTCAGGGAGGGACTTGGCGAAAAGGAGGGTCTGGAGCTTCATTCCTTCCCCCTTTAAGAAATATTCTTGGGACGGCAGGGGGCCTACTGACACCCAGCTGGTGCACAGAATGCTCCCTAACTAATCCCTAAGGGCTCATTTGAAATTCTAGGCCCTCCAGTGACATTTTAGAGATCAGGCCCCTCCCCTCCCCCCACTGATGTTTCACGTTTGCTGAATCAATGGAGAAAGGAACAGGCCAAAACAGCGACCACATCCATCCATCGTATCAGATTATCCGGGTCCCCGGACCAAATCCACATCAAAATGAGGCCTTGGAAACACTAAGGAGTCAAAATCTTTGTGGCCTCTTAGGACACCGACATCCCCTCGGCTCGCTCTGGGACAGGAACATGGAGAAACAGCAACATTGTGTGTTTTGTAGCCCCAGTAAAATGTCAAAAGAGAAGCCAGCATGAAGGTGCTGAGCAGAGAGAAATCTGGGTGCCACTTCTCAGCAGAGGTCTGGTGGGACTTCACACATGCACTTCACATTCCAAGAATGCCACTCCTGGGAGGGTAAGTATCCCTTTCGACTTCAAAACTAGACCCAAAGAAAAGACCGTCCTTACCCAACGGCCCCACTGAAGGCTCATAAAACACAGCACTCAGGAGTTCCAGCTTCATTTCCTTTCTCCAGCTACAAAAATGCAGATGAAGCAAGTATTTGTTTGAGTTTTACTATGTAAATAAAGCCTATTATCAGGGTCAGCACTTGGGAAGAAAACAACCCCTCAGGAAAACCTTTCAAAAGGCCAGTGTCTTCACAAAGAAAAATTAACTTGAGTTTTAAAAGCTAAAATCCTTTTAAAAACTAAAGTGCTGACACTGTTAATCTAACAAGGACAATTTGGCCCACAGGTAACACCTGACAGACTCTGGAGACTTTTGTTGGCTGTCACAGCTGGTGTGGGGGTACCGGGGGCATCAAGTGAGTGAGTGGGGCTAGGGAATGCTTCTAAGATCCTACAAAGCACAGAACAGCGCCCCCCTCAACAGAGAATGCAGACAAGCAAATCAGTAGTGCCAAAATTGAGAAATCCTCCCGATGGATGTGACAAAGTTACTTCACAGGGCACTGCAAGTGTTTGCAAGGGACAGCAGATGGAACCGAGTAGAGGGGAAGTGGTGACATCTGGGATCAAGAGCTGGTCCTTGGAAGCCTTCTCATGACCTGCCAGGTTTGTGACCTCAGCGCGCGCCATTTCACTTTCCTTTGCTTTAGCTGTTGCATCTACAAAACGGGCTGATAAAATTTCTTGATCTGCAGATCACGGGTTAAATCAGCCTTGTTCTTGGCATTGCTTACAGTTCTAAGATGTGCACCCTATGACGCTTCCAAGTCAGACCCCTATTATCACAAAAAGTGTGTCACCTTACAGTCATTCAAGCTACCCCACATCAGATTCTGTTACATAGAAAATGAGTTGTATAATTTCTCAGGGGTCTTATATACAAAATATTTAATTATAAGTTTCTTTTTTAAGCCAAAAAAAAAGTCCAATTTTTTTAAAAGCCCCCCCAAAATCCTATTGGAACAATTATAATTTGAGTTCCACATAACAACAACTGTTATAATGAGCCCCAAATATTTTTCAGTAGCTACCAAGAGAGAGTCAAAACTTGGATTAATCCAAATTCTGCAGGTGGAACAATTTTTCCTAGCCTCTATTCCAAAAGCGTATGCCCACTCTTTAAGCGATTCTAAATGGACACACTTTCCTTCACCCTTTTCTAATAATGTGACAGTTAATTACCAGCTGTTGGGAGTGTAAGCAAGCATAATTGATGACTTAATCCAAGAGAAAAGACAGGCATGTGAAATAGTGCCAATTCCGTGCAACGCAGAGTTCAAAATCTGTAATACACACGTGCACGAGTATTGATCTCTGCACACATATACAAGTGTACATGGAAACTCAGTACAGAAGGCCCAAACTCCCCCGAGTCCTTTTCTAAACCAAGCAAAGAAACCACCAAGTTCCAGTCACTTTGCAGCATCTAGAGAAAATAGCAACAGTTTAAGGAAGGGATGTATGGGCCTCTCAGAGAAGAACCCCAAACATTTTTATTCCTGCAAAATTCTACAACACCATCTGGAAAGGCAGAGCACATACGCTGGTACTAGCCTACCCACAAGAAACTTTTACAAAGAAAAACAAAACAAAACAAAAAAAAGGCCAAAACACCTTAGTAAGTACCATGAAAGCCAACCAGCAGGCCAAATCAGGAGGCGAAGGGCCTCACATGCCCCCAAAAGGCCCTGGTACATGTTTTCTGGGTTTTACTGCCCACCTACCACACTCTGGACTGGGAAGTCTTGGACAGAGTGAACAGGAGGCCACTAGGATGTTTAGAACCTGGAGTACCCACAGAAAGGAGGAGGTGCTCTTGGATCTACTTCTCCAGCCTCTGGTTGAACAACTGAATTTCAGAGTTTAAAGTGACCTCCAACTTTCTTATATGGAGTAAAGACAGAAGGCAAGATTTCACCTTAACTAATGTTTTGCAACTTATTCCTTCATTTGTAATAACCAGTCTGAGCAAGATAAGTTGAATTGTGTGTACACCTCTTTTTAAAAGAAATACACGAAAACGCTAAGGGTGTTAGTAATTTACCTGCTATCTTTTAAACTTTTACTATCAGGAATGTCCTCTAAAACCTTTATTAAAAAGGCACAGGGTAATACACTTTAGTACACATATACGCAGAAAACTAACCTCGCTGGGCAAGCTGGACACACTTTGCTCACCATCTTTTCAAAGAACCCCCAATTCATTAATGGGTTACACATTAAATTTATAGCAACGACAGCCTCTTTCCGCAGTTGAACATAAATTCAGTGCACATCTAAACAAGCCTCCCCTCGGAGTCTCTGGTTTTGTGAATACAAAAATTAGAGAAAATACAGAACAGAAAAGTTTGGTGTCTCATTCGCTACCTCGCACAACAAAGCCACACCACTTCCCAAATTCACGGGTGGGGTGAGTTAGGAGTGATCTTACACTTTCCTCCCGGTAGTGAAGCAGGAAAGTAGGAAAAAAACCCAGCAAGTCACCTTCAAACTCCTGTAGTCCCCAAGAATTCTTACATTTTAAAGGGAACTTTGTCCCTAGGAAAAGCCTGGCCCAACCCTCCCCAGGGAAACGGAGGCTTTGAACCAGAAGAAAACAGGATAGGTTTGTTATTTTGTTTTCACAGCTCTGTGCAAGTTCAGCTGGTCAATTTCAAGATCGATTGCTGTTTATAGAATTCAAAGTCTAAAGCACCCACCTTCCCCTACCACAGACAACGCAAAACATTTCCTGATGAGACACATTAGAAACTTATTATTGGAGCTCAAATCCCACTTTGAAAAAGGACACTGAAAGTTTCAGTACGTGTCTGCAGGTCCCAGAGCGCCATGGATCTAGGGCTGGAAGCCGAGAGTCAGTAAATATTGATGGGCTGATGGGAATTGAGAAGCGGAGTTGGCGACAGCTGCTCGTCTGGGTTTCCTAGTGATAAGGGAACGGACTGGTTCAAGGGGGTGCAGAACCAAGGGCCTACGGTGACAAACACAGGTGGGGACGGTTCTGTCCACCCCCTGGCACGTGGGACTGTTCCTTGAGCAGCCCCCTGGTCAGTCCCACAGGTGCAAGCCGCCGCTGGCGAAGCCGGGAGTGACAGGGGACCCAGCCAGGCCCCTTCTCGAAGGGGGAGGGAAAGGAACCCGGAACAGGAGCCATTTAAACTCTGCGCGGCGCTGGGAATCAGCAGCGCGGGGAGCCGCTGCAGAGCAGCCAGAACCACGCACCTTTGCGTGTCCCGGTGACCCCGATCCCGCAGGTGATCCAGGCACACTAGCGCCCCCGGGTTGGGGACACGATTGGCCCGCCCCTCCGGCGCCCCCCCCCATGAGATTCCCCCACCCCCAACGAGATCCCCGGCCCCGCGTGGACCTCAGGGCTGTCATCGTGAGGGTCCCGCGGCCGCCTCACCTTGGTGATGACCAGCGGCTCGCCGTGCTCGCGGCCGCCCTTCAGAGTGAAGCCCCACGGGGCGCCGCCGCTCAGCTGCACCTCCACCAAGCGCCCGCCGTCGGGCGCCCGCGCCTCGGCCTCGGCCGGGCGCTCGGGCCGCGCGCGGGGCTCGGCGCCCTCCATGGCGCGGGACGCGGAGCGCGGAGGCGGCGCGGCCGCTCAGCCCCCAGGGCCCGTCCGGCCTGCGCCCATGCACTCGGGGAGCCCCGGCCGGCGGACGGCGAGGGAGGGTTAGGGCGCTCCTGCCGGCGCCGCCGCCGGCCACCGGCAAACTTGCGCGGCAACTTGGGAGGAAAGTGCCGGCCGGGGCCAGGGAGGGAGCTGGGCGCCGGCGGCGCGGCGCGCGGGGGAGGGCGGGCCGGGCAGGGGCGGGGCGGGCGCGCTCGAGGGCTCCGGCTGCACAGCGGGCAGGGGGCGGGGCGCGCGCTGGGCTCCCGGGGGCTGCCCGGAGGCTGCCCAGAGGCTGGGAGGGGCGGGAGGAGGCGCGCGCTCCGGGACCGGCGCTGCCGCCGGGGGATGGAGCGGAGAGAGGCCCTCGGGGCAGGGGCGTGCGCTCGGGGGTCTCTTCCGAGGGGCCCGGAGGGTGGGAGTGGGCGAGGGCGGGCAAGCACTCGGCACCCGTGCGGCGGGCTGGGGATGGGCGTGCGCGCTCGGGACTGCCCCACTGGTCACCCAGAGGGTGGGAGGGGGCGAGGGCCGGCGCGCGGGCCGGCGTGCACGCGAACCTGCGCGGCTCACCGGATGCGGGAGCGCGCTCCGCCCCCCTCCTCCCGCCCCCGCCCCCCGCCCCCGCCCCTGTTGCCCGGAGGGTGGGAGTGGGCGGGGCGCGCGCTCAGACCACGCGCTGCGCGGCGGGGTCTGGGGGTGGTCGGGGACCGCGACGCGACGTCCAGCCCTTTCACCCGCGCCAGCGCCGGGCGGTCCTGGAGGCTCGGGCGCGCCAACCGTCCGCTCCGGGAGGCCGTAGTCCCGGCAGGTGAGGTGGCGGAAGCGCCCGCGCGGGGCGGGCAGGGGCGGGGCGGGCGGCGGGCCGAGTCCCCGGAGCCCTCCATCTTGGAGCGCGCGACCGGCCCTTCGCCCCCGCCTTTGTTCGCGCGGACCGCGGGCTGCCGGAGGCCGCCCAGGTGAGACCGGAAGCGCGGCGGGCGGCCCGCGTGGGTCCGCGTGCTGCCAGCCTGTTCCGGCACCGACGCGCTTTGCCCCCAGGCCCGGGCTTGGAGTGGGGGGTGTCCCGGGTACCCTCCACGCAACCGCACTGCTCCGGCCCCCCGAGAGAGCCGCCTCCGCCGCGCGGCCCGGGAGAAAGCGCTGGCCGTAGGAGGGTGCTCCGAAAGTCGCGGCAGAGGGGACGGCGCCTGACCCGTTCCATGAAAGACTAACCATCTTCCTCCCAATCCCTGCTGCGGCGCGCCCCGCAGATGAGGAATAGGCTGCTTCTTGGCTCTTCCTATAGTTCCGGTCCAGGGAGTGTTTGCGTTCAGGCCGAGTTCTCACTTTGGTGGAGCAGTGCCACGAGGTCTTCCTGTCCCACGTCTGCGTTGCCTGCAAAGGAGAGGTGGGGGTCCGGAATTACTGGAAGGGTGTGCCGCCTATGCCTGCCCCTTTTCAGTTTATGTAAACGTTTGGTGTGAAGAAATATCCGCACTGCTGGGTGTCCGCACGCTTTGCCCCAAAACCACAATCCTTTATCTCGTTTGTAGTTAATGGAGCTGGATGCTGGTGATCGCCGGTTTCATCAAAGCAGCTCCCTCCGGGGACTTTGATCAGGTGAATGGGCCGCAAGAGAAAGCTCGGAGACCACTGGACAGGAAGAGTTCGGGGTTCCTGTCCTCGTTGAGGAGGGGCAAGGAGTCGCAACTCTGGTCTCTCTGTCTTCAGTGGTCAGGTGAGGGATTTCCATTCTGTGGTCTGAATCGTTTGTGTCTCACCCAGGGTGCAAACTTCACTGGGCATTTGTCATGGCTCTGAGCAGTGGTTACTGCCCCATGAGTAATTCCAAGCTACGGTGGCCACAGTGTTTCCAGTCGGGGAATGACGTGATTTTTTTTCTTCGTAAACGGAGACTTAAGGAGGGTGCCTGTTAGAATCCACCTTAAGCATATCTTAACTGGTCCAGGCATGCGGATCTGCACACATTGTTTAAATTGCACAGACCTGAATACACAAGAGTGCGCGTAAAATGAGGAAATGGAAATAAGTTTCGTAGATGGTGTCAGTGTTCATATTCTGACTGTGAGATGCAGGTGCGGAGGATGTCCCTATATTCATTTTTAAAACCACATTGAATTTGTAACTGTCTTGATCAAAGTTGAATTAAAAAACTGGACAGACATGAGAAACCCAAAGGGAAAGGACCATACAAGTGCACCTAGAATTTTTGGAAGTTCCCTGCTTCCAAAACAGCTCTCCCACCCCCGCCCGGTGGTATTAACTGAAATCTCAGCTCTTAACTGGGGCTGAAATTCAGACCAGGAGTCACCAAAGCATTGTCTCCTTAAATCACAGGTAGAGTCATCCTTAGCGTTTTATGTTGGTTATTCAAGATTAGCTATCTGCTGCTTAAAGAAGTTGTAGTCTTCATTCCTTAAACGCAGGTGCAGGTTTACATTTCTCCTTACTAAATTATCATTTTCCTGGTTTTTTTCTTAATCTTCACATTAGACATCTCTCCCAGCTTAGCATTATTTGAATATTCATAAGGCTGTTTATATGGGTGTTATTAAATACACTGGAAGGGACTGGACCAAATCTGTGTGCTCTGTTTTGAGGTAGATGCCCTCCTCTTGGACCCTGTCAAATTCTTTCACTGACACTCTTGGGTTTATGTAGCTGAGCATACGTACTATCACACCTAGACTTCTGTATCATATCCATTATATCCTTATTAGACATCGTCATTTATCTTGGAAAATACCGATATCTTGTGACCGAAAGGCATTGCTCCAGTTTATTAACCCTGCTCCCCTTTTGAAGGCGTTCAGAAAGACACCGAACCAGTGTGGACTTACAGTGGTGATGGCTTTCTTTTCTGAGAACTCCACTCAGCCAGATCTTCCACGGATATATATTTATCAACATCTAGCTTTTCCTTTTGGAAAGCCGGGGCCAGGTAGCTTCTGGCTATTCTCAGCTTCTCGCATCTCGGACATTCAGCTTCATTGCTCTGAAGACCCCAAGGTGAGCATATTCTGTTTAGGACCTGCAGAGCACGACCCTGTGACCATCTGAATCTAGGCATTCAGTAGCCTTGGGTACATAAACCGCATTTTCAGATCTGAGGCTTCCTTCCCTTGATAGAGAGGAGATAGGTGAAATTAAAGGGAGTTCTTTCAGGCACCTGGCTGGCCCAGTCCATAGAGCGCGTGACTCTGTATCTCAGCGGTTGTGAGTTCAAGCTCGGTGTTGGGTGTGGAGATTACTTAAAAATAAAGGTAGTTCTTTCATTTCATCAATGGTGAATGAATTCATCAATGAATAGAAAGCAGATTGAACCAGCTTTCAGAGATTTAATCAGTGGCTAATCCTTTTTATGAAATAGAGTTCAAATTACCTTAGTTTTTTGTTCTAAGGAGAAAAGGGATTTATAATTAGAAAATGTCCTGGAGGATGGGGTTCCAAAATTTTGCCTTTACCCTTCAAACTAGTAGCTCAGGATAATCAAGCTTTCTAGAACATCTGCGGCAATTTTTTAAAAGGCAGATTTAGCCATTTTCTACTTAAGCCTCTGTGTACGTGAGTTGGGGTCCCTATGAATTTAGATGGTGGAGAGTTCGTCCAGATGAGAGAGCACACAGGTGAGGACAGCTAAAGGAAAACATGGACTGAATGGCTTTCTCCTTCATCGCCATCACCATTGTCATCATCTTGGTTTCTACAGGTGATTATTGGAAACATGGGCGTTTCACTTAGCTGCAGATCTGGACCCAGTGACAGAAGCTGAATGCTGCACAGGTGCGCCCCCATCCCCTCCCTCTCTCACCTCAGGGGGATTTTACCCTCGCTGTTAGGATATTTACAGATTTCTGGGGAGAGACTTCTCTCTGTGCGAGAAAGGGAGACTGCGGGGTCTTTCCTCACAGCTGGCACCGTTGTCCTGTTTGTGGACTGTACGTTGCGAGTTTGCATCTTAGCACCCAGCCTTTAGTTGAGGAAGCAAGGAGTAGCAATCAGATAGATAGTGACCACACTCACAGGGAACCTGCTTTGGACCAAGCACATGACGTAAATGGACTCTGGTCCAAAGCTTCTTGGAGCATGCGTCACCCCATTTTACAGAGGAAGAGACTGAGTGCCAGAGGGGCTTAACACCCTGCTAGAGGTGGCTGAGCTCAGTCTTAAGAAGGACTCCTTCTTCCCTTGCAGGGACCAATGCCAGACTGGACGTGGCGGGACAGTTGTCGTTGAGCTGGTGAGTTGGCTTTCCACTGTAGGACATTTAGACAGTGAGCCTCCTTTTGAGGTTCCCTTGATCTCCAAACAAAGAGGCTGAAGCCTCCTGTGTGGAAATTTTGCCTATAAAACTGGATGCTAATTTAGGTTTGGTTGAGTTCCAGTCCTGTTTCCTTGGAGACCTGTCTTTAAAATATACGTAGGGGCACCTGGGTTGCTCAGTAGGTTGAGTTTCTGACTCTTGATTTCATCTCCGGTCTTAATCTTAAAGAAATATGTATATGTATATAATAATAATACTTTTCAAATTGGGAGTACTTAGCCACTATTTTAAAAGTGTTTATATTTTAAAATGTAGTTTGAAGGGCGCCTGGGTGGCTCAGTTGGTTAAGCATCCAACTCTTGATTTTTGGCTCAGGTCGTGATCTCAGGGTCATGAGATTGAGACCCGTGTTGGGCTCTGTGCTCAGTGCAGAGTCTGCTTGAGATTCTCTCTCCTTCCCCGTCCCTCCCTCCCCTCGTCTCCTCTGCTGCCTCCTGCTCCTCGCGCCCTCTCTCAAATTAACAAAATCTTTAAAATGTAGTTTTAGAAAGCCACTGGCTATTTCTCACTTTTTATTTTTTTATAAAGTAGCCAACAAGTACTTCTTGAGCACTTTTAACTTGCTCAGTACTGGGGAGTGGTCGCTAAGGAATGTTAGGATGCAGGAAACACGAAACATCAAGTCTAGCCGGTGAAGACACTAGACTAGGAAGAAAACACAATCAGAGTACAATTATGTGCAAAATGACTTTAACTGCAAAAATTCCAGCAGGAGAGAAACCAAAGTAGAGAAGAAAATAAAAACAAGTGACCACAACCATAGGTGAACTTTCTAAATTTTTCTTTTCTTTTCTTTTCTTTTTTTAATTGTGGAAATTTCAAGTGGACACAAAAGCAAGAAGTCTTGTTTCATCCCCGCCCCCTGCCCCCCCCCAGGTATTTCAAAACACATCCAGGATAGAACGGCTGAGCTGTCTTGGAGGCTGAGAGGAAGTGGAGCCAAGAGTTCGCTGGGTGGGGATCCTGTGAGCAGAAGAATGTTCTTTATAGGGAAGTTGAAAGCATCAGGACAAAAATTTTGGCTGAAACCTTGTTAAGGAGTGCCCCAGTCCGGCTCCTTGGGAATCTGTGCTGGGCCTTCACTCCCCCATCCCGGGGCGTGTGCACCCCATAGGAGTTGGGGGAGTGACTAGGGGCAGGGGCTGCTATGTGGAGATGGTGACAGGACAGCAGATGAGAGGCAGTAATGAGGGTAGGTTGAAATGGGAAATGCCTGTGGGATACCTTATGAATTTTCTAAGACTATTGTAACAAATTAACATAAGCTGCTTAAGACCCATTTTTTTTTCTTTCCCAGAGGCCAGAAGTCTGAAATCAAGGTGTCAGCAGGGCTATACCCCCTCAGAGGCTCTAGGGGAGAATGTGTTCCCTGCCCCTTCCAGGGTCTGGTGGCCGCTGGCATTCCTGGGTTTGTGAACTGATCAGTCCAGCCTTTGCCTCTGTGGTCACCTGGCCTTCTCTTCTGCCTGGGTCCTGTCTCCCTCTGTTGCCTCCCTGTGTCGCTCTCTTAGAAGGTCACTGTGATTGCCTTTAGGACCCACCTGGAAAAGAAGGATGCTCTCTTCATCTCAGAATCCTTAATCAAATCCTGTGTGCAAAGACCCCTTTCCCAAGTAAGGTCCCATTTGCAGGTTCCAGGGTTTAGGACCTATTGTCTTTGGGGAGCGTTAGTCATTTTACTACAGATAGGTTGGTGGAAATCACTGGGGTGTTGCAGGGCGGTGAAGGGACTCCTGTCCTTCGTTTGGAAGCATTGTGGCTGAAGTGCCGCTGTTCCTGCTGGTAGTTCAAGGGCTCATGGGAGCCTCAGATCTGCCTGTCCTGAGGTGGGGGGCGGGGAAGGCTTGTCCCACCCTCAAGCCAAGTGAAAACTGCTCCTAGGAGTCCCTCATAAAGATTTGGGTATCTACAGGACAGAGGCTGGGATCTCACGCTTGGGTGGCATTTCTGGAAGTGCCATTGATTACTGTTCCTTGTGCAGACGCGCACAGAAGGCAGCAGAGGGACAGAGGGCTCAGGAGCACATGCGTGCGCCCTCCCAGTCCACCCGGAGAATGTCGCCACATACCCGATTTTCCCGAAATTGACCAGCTTACGGGGGCAAACTCTGGCCTGACCCAGGACTACTACTCAGGCTGACAGGTCCCATTTGCCCAGATCCAAGCAGGGATTTTCAATGGTGACTTCTTTGCAAGAGGCAACAGTTTTATTTAGGGAATGGGTAGTGGGGGGTATAAATCATCTGTTGTCATCGTAGTTTGTGAGATGTAATCAAGGTCTCAAGGTCTGAGTGGCTCCCTTAGTCATGCAGATGTGTAGGCCCCCAAGTCTAGCTCTCATTTCTCTCTCCCTGGGGTGTCTGTACGAGTTGGGGGCTCTTGCTTTCTGAAGAAGCCAGGGGTTTCTGGGAGGGTAGAGACCAACAGGTTAACCCCTGTTTCAAAACTCAAAATTTTAAGGAGAGTTGATGAGAGGAGGAAAAGCGGGGTTAAAAAGCAGTCCCATGTATGGGCTGTGTCCGCCACCCTCCATGGGAGCTGAGGTCAGAGGCAGAGTGCTGGCCGTCTGAGGTCAGAGCTCAGAGGAGGGCCTGGCGTACACCAAGGGAGGGAATGGGAGTTTTGACACCAGCCCGGCAACCTCACCTTCATTTAAAACATTGTATCTGGGGAAGATTCTTTTCAAGTCTCAAACACCTTCCCTGACCCAGCCTTCTTGTAATTTGCCAACGAAATGGCAGGATAGAAATATGATACCTGAGTCCCAGATACTGTCTGAGTGGTTCTAGTGAAAGCCAACACAGCAATTTTCAAGCAGCAAAAAATATGTGTGTGAGATTTCAAGACATCCTTGGACATACTCTCTTTCCAAATACAGCATGAACCTCCCTTACTATGATATCATTTGTGTGATTGTGGAATGCCTTTTTATTTCGTACTCCACCTTTTGAGAGAGAAAAACCCAGAGTAGGGACAGCCTGGGTGATGCTGTTAAGCATCTGCCTTTGGCTCAGATCATGATACCAGGGTCCTGGGATCGAGCCCTGTGTGGGACTCCCTGTTCAGCGGGGAGCCTGCTTCTCCCTCTGCCTCTGCCACTCCCTCTGCCTCTGCCACTCCCTCTGCTTGTGCTCTCTCACTTAAATAAATAAAATCTTTAAAAAGAGAAAAAGAAACACCTGTTACTTCTGCGAGGCTCTCAGAGAAAGCACGGGACTTGGATTTTTGTAACAAGGTCCTTCACAGGGGTACCTAGGTGGCTCAGTGGGTTAAAGCCTCTGCCTCCCGCTCAGGTCATGATCCCAGGTCCTGGGATCGAGCCCCGCATCAGGCTTTCTGCTCAGCAGGGAACCTGCTTCCCCCTCTCTCTGCCTGCCTCTCTGCCTACTTGTGATCTCTGTCAAATAAATAAAATCTTAAAATAATAAAAAACAAGGTCCTTCGCAGTGCCGCGGCAGCCCCTCCAGGAGCACACGTGGGGGCTATGGCATAAAACAACAGCAGCCAGGGGAGCACACGCTGCAGAGCTCGGTAAATGTTCCTGCGCTCCCTCCCACTCGCCCGCCAACACGGCCGCAGCCGCACAGACACGGAGAAAGGGGCCATCTGTAATTCCTTAGAGCTGGGATAATTCAGATGTCCTATGGGAAGGAGGGGCCCTGGAAACGGAAGCCACCGTGTCTTTGGTGTTGGAGGGACTGTTGATTCGGATGCGGGAAATTCCGTCGCTGGCCACGGGCCAGAATACTTGTTTCAATTGAATCTTTTCACCTGAACTTCAAGGAATGTAGACGTCTTTGACCAGCAGCAGAAATAACAGGAAGGACCAGAAGCCGGCTGGCTGAAGGGTGGTAGAGTTTTTACTACAATGGACAGATGTCTTCCAGGCAGACATGGGAAGTTTCTAAACACTTAATTGGTGGGGATGGTTCCTCTTGTGCAATTATACATGTTGGAAGGGCCACAGGAAATACTGTGTGATTAACGTTAAAAGTAAATTCTTCTGTTGGAACAATCTGAGGTTTACAGAGAGGTTGCAGAGGTACTGCACGGAGCTCGTGCGTCCCCTTGACCCGGTTTGTTCCTGGTCACGGAACTCTTGTTTGGATTTCCCCAGCTGGCACGTGAGTGTCCTCTTTCGGTCCACAGGGCTCCACTGTGCGCTTAGTTGTCGTGTCACCTTTGGTCTCCATCATCCCTTTGTTTTCATGACCTGGAAGTTTTGAGGAGGACTGGCCGGGTGTTTTGCAGAATGTCCCCCAATTTAGGCTTGTCTGATGTTTTCTCATGACTAGACTGGGTTATGGGTTTGGGGGAAAACACGTACACAGATGATATGGCCTTCTCCGCACACCATGTCACAGACTCTGGACATCTACATGGCTTGTCACTTGTGACTGTCACCTTATTACATGGGTAAGGAGGTGGCTGCCAGGTTTCTCCCTGTCAAGTTACAGCAAGAATTTTCCCTTTCCTGGTTAACTCTTTTAACAACTTGGGTTTGGGGCACCTAGTGGCTCAGTCCGTTAGCGCCTGCCTTTGGCTCAGGTCGTGATCCCTGCTGGGATGGAGCCCTACATCAGGCTTCTTGCTCAGTGGGGAGTCTGCTCTCCCTCTCCTCCTGCACTCACGCTCTCATGTGCTCGCTTGCTCTCAAAAATAAATAAAATCTTAAAAAACAAAAACCCAAGAAGTTGGGTTTGACGATGCATGGGCGTTCTGTGGGAAGTCACACTGATTCCATGGTATCCACCAAGTTCATACTTGGTGGACAGGCTATCCTTAAGACCAAATAAAGACGCTTGATTAAGTCAACGTAAAGCACATTGAGAGAAACGGAGTAATTGTGAAAGAGACCTTGTAGCTTGCAAAGGCAAAAATATGTAGTGTTTGGGCCGCTAAGAATCAATTTCTGATTCCCGTGATGGACTAAAGACACGTCCCAAGTTTGGGAAACTCGGGGTATACACATGGTTTCCTCTGGATGTTCAACTAGGAGCAATGCAGTGAGACCCAAAAATACGGCAGGGGGAGAGCCATTGCATTTAAATGATCAGAGTCCCCTCAGGACTGGCGGACCCCCCTTTTCTATGTTAATGTCTTTCAGCCTTTCTGAAACTGAAACACGTGCCGTAGCGTGGGTACCAGACAGATGTTTCCGCAGCGTTCACAGCCAGGTTGACGTAAGGGTATATTATCTCCCAGCACGCTGTGTTTCTAACCACACGCCAAACCCTTGAGGTTAATGTGGGTTTCCTATTCCCTGCCCGTGGCCACTCGAGTACCAGCGAAGCAGTCATTTCAAAATTAGCCCACGTCTGGGTGTGTTTCTTTCTTTTTATTAGATATCTGCAATTTGACACTCTCCTATAGATGACAGCCGTGGAGCATATAATAGTCCTCCCAGAAATGATCGTCCTCTCGTTTCACTGTATCAGTATGGTGTGCTGCGAAAGAAACATCAGATTTGGTCCCAGTTTGACACAGGTGACGTACCCATATGTGTACATCCTCAGCCTCACCTCCCTCCCGCCCCCTCCGCCATACTTCCTTGCAAAGTGCAGTTATGGTCACACGGCTTCCAATTTGGCCACCTGTGACCTGCCTCCAGCTTCTCAAACGCCGACTCCTTCTTGCTTCAGAGTAGTGGGGTGAGAAGATGTATTTCCGTGGTCTGACTGGTTTGTAGCCGTTGGTGGCTGATGTTCATTCAGGTTCCCCTCTGGAGGAAGTGCTTATGGTGTAGTCTGCCTGGATTTGATTCTCACCTCTACGGCCTCCATGACCTTGGACAAGTTTCCTCACCTCCTCTGGTGCCTTACGTGTGAAAACGAGATAAAAAACTGAGCCACAGGGCGGAGGTGAGAGTTAAGCAAGACCTTGAGTACTTAATGCTGCGGTTCGGGAAGGCAGTCAGGTAGTACTAATCCTAGATGACTTCTCTTCCTCTTTTCAGAGCACAGACCCTACCTCCGTCTCCCTCCCACAGCACGGTCTGGTCTCCTCTCTTCTCAGCCGAGACCACACAGCTCAGACTCCTAGTCTGCCTGTTGCAGAACTGGAGATGTGCTCTCAGACACTCTTTCTCAATCTGTGAATTCCTGTGTTTCTGTCAGAGGAAAGGGCAGTGTTCCTTCAAGCCAAGACTCTCCCGGTTTTGTCAGGGGAGGTCAGTACTCTACCCCACAGCAACCACAGAGCAGGCTCTTTGAGCTCTAAGCCTGGGTTCAAAACCCATGCATTGTGTGGCGTGTTGCAGAGCTACTCAGTTCCCCACGGACAGAGAAAGGGGTTCAATGTCAAGGTGTAAGCCACTGCAACTCTTTTTACTCTCTTAAAGCTTTATAGCCAATCCTGAGCATTTTTGTCTATTCTCCAGGGTCAAACTGAGCAAATTTAGTTGTGGATGGAGGGCGAAGTCATCTTTCCAACCCGCTAACACATTCCGTGAGCTCCAGCGGGCAGCCTTGCGGCTCTCTGAGGAAGGAAGCCCTCAGGTGGCCGACGCTCACTCAGCCAGCGCTCTCGGAGTGCCCGGGCAACCAGACGTTCCTAGGATTTGAGGTGCCCACCCCAGGGACCGCCCTTCCTGGTTGCCTGACAGGAGTGGGTGCTCCAGCGTTCTTGTGTGGTCAGACAACACTGAGGGGTTGCTGTGGTGGACAGACATTAGGATGCCCTCCCAGGGCACCCCGCCTGCTGGTAGCCACACTCTGTGTATTCCTTCCGTTGGGTGCGAGCAGGACCCATGACCCACTTCTAAGCCATACGATGCGGCAGAGGTGAAGGGACATCCGCTCGGTGATTATGTAGCAAAACATTGTGACTCTCATTTGGTGGATTGTTCTTGCCAGCTTGGACGAATGAAGCTGCCTTCCTGGAAGCTGCCTCGTGGAGAGACTCATGTGCCAAGGAACGGAAGGTGGCCCCCAGCCAACAGCCCATGAAGAGTGAAAACTCACCACTGAACGTGGAAACGTGCTTGGAAACAAACGTTTCACCGCTTGAGCCTTTAGGTGAGACTAGCCTAGTCAGCATCTTAATTGTAGCCGTTGAGAGATCCCAAAATGGGAGACCCAGCTAACCCATGCCTGGACTCCGAAGCCACAGAAACAGAAAATTAAGTGTGTTGTTGATTTCCCGTCTGGCACGTAAGGAGCTTAAACTCACCACTTCAGCCTAACAACCAAAACCTGAACGAGCCAAAAAGTCATCTCTTCCTAGATCTGTCAGAGAAGTGAGGTCACAGAACAAACTGTGGTTCCCCCGCCTACCCCCTCCCCCCGCCAACTGAAAAGACAGGCATATGCGACAGCCACAGCTTCCAGGAGCTGACACCCATTGGCTGAAACTTCTACAGGAATTGCTGTGGAGGTAGGAAAGTGTGAACTGTAACCGACCGGTTGCTGGAGACTCAGTGTAGACCATCCCCACGCTTTTGTGAGTTTCACCTCCTGGGGCTCTACCAGGTTCTCACAGTGAAGACTGGAGAAAAGATTGCTTGTGCGTCCTGCAGAGAGAGGGGAGAAGGGGCCATTTTTAAGTCTGCCAGAGCATTCTGTTGTTTTGAGCAAGACCTACCCTCAGGAGAAACATGACCCTAACCAATGGGGGTTACTGGAACCTAACCACCCTGGGGGAAGGAAATCCCCAACCCCAGTCTCCTGAGGCCCTGGTGGGGGACACAATGAAGAGTCCTTTACGAAATTTACAGCCAAGGGGTACAGGCTAACTACAAGACTGAGACCTAATCATAGAACTGCCTCTCCTCCCTGTCACCTCCTGATGACGCCGCTAACGGCCTGTTTATCCCGATTCTTTTTACGCAGCACATTATGACATTATGTCCAGCCATTTTTTTTTTTTTTTTTTTTTTTTTAAGGGAGTGAGGAGCAGGTGTGGGGGAGAGAGTCTTAAGCGGTCTCCACAGCCAGCGAGGAGCCCAGGGTGGGGCTTAGTCTCACAACCCGAAGATCATGACCTGAGCCAAAACCAAGAGTCAGCCCTTTGAGCCGTCCAGGCGCCCCCACGTCCAGCTTTAAACAAAGAGCTTCCAGGCGCGCTAAAAGACAATAAACACAGTTTGAAAAGACAAAGCAAGCATCTGCTTTGTACTCAGGGATGTTGGAATAAACGTCTGTTGTTTTCGGCTGCTATATTTGCATCATTTGTTATGTAGTATGGATTACTACAATGGCTTAACTATTTCTTCAAGTCCTGTGGGATGGAACCCAAGTCATCCTTCACAGGACTTCCCTTGACAGCAAATCTGTGGTTGGTCTCCCTTTCAGGATCACACGGTTCTGCCCCTTCCTGCCTTTCCCTGGAAACTTCCCCGTGCATCCTCACCTCGGGGTCTGCGTGATAGGCTCCAGCCACTCCCACAGACACCTGCTGCCATCTTTGCGCACGTGTGCGATGTCAAATCTTTCTTTGCATCTTGCATTCTTAGTCGCTAAGACTGCACATTGAACTTCAGAAACTGTCCTTCCTGGTTTCTAACCAGCTAGGCTTTAGACTGGCCTTTTTTCCAGTTTTTTGGGGTTTTTAAAAATGATTTTATTTGTGGATTTGAGAGAAAGTGAGAGAGCACAAGCAGGGCGAGGAGCTGAGAGAGAAGCAGGCTTCCTGCTGAGCAGGGAGCCGGACAGCGGGATGGATCCCAGGACTTTGGGATCATGACCTGAGCCGAAGGCAGACGCATAACCGACGGAGCTACCCGGGCGCCCCAGTGTTGTGTTTTTTGTTACTTTACTGCGAGATAAGACATTCAAGAACATGTATACAGTCAAGACATAATTTCAAATTGGAATGGATTTACTAACTTTTGATTGGATAAGTCATTTCCATCATTCGTGATTTTAAAAGCACAGATACATCTTTTTTGAAGTCCAGTTTGGCTGCCAATCAAGGGTGTGTAATGCTTTTACAATTGTTAAGAGATTAAGAGATAATCTTGTGTGTGCCTTTAATGTATGTGTGTGTACTTTGAAAGCTACTGCAAAGATAGATTTATGTAAAAGAATTTGCCTTTAATTGTCCTTGTGTGTTTGTCAATTGAATTCAAATACACAGCTGAGCACTGGGCCTCAAATTTATTACATTCTTTTTTTGGGCATTAGAAACAGTCATTAAAAAGAATTTTCTCTGGGGCGCCTGGGTGGCTCAGTGGGTTAAAGCCTCTGCCTTCGGCTCGGGTCATGATCTCAGGGTCCTGGAATCGAGCCCCGCATCGGGCTCTCTGCTCAGCAGGGAGCCTGCTTCCTCCTCTCTCTCTGCCTGCCTCTCTGCCTACTTGTGATTTCTCTCTGTCAAATAAATAAAATCTTTAAAAAAAAAAAAAGAATTGTAGAATTACTTCTGCTTGCATGCACATCCCAAAAAAGCATATAAAATGCTGATTTGGATGGAAAACACTGCCCTTGACTTAACTCACCACTGAACTGTCCTTACTAGTTCATACCTGTCCATTTACCTGTGGCTCCATTCTTAAAGTTACTAAAACTTTTATTTTAAGATTTTATTTGTTTATTTGAAAGAGAAAACACGACCAGGGGGAGTGGCAGAGGGAGAAGGAGAAGCAGACTCCCTGCTGAGCAGGGAGCCTAACATGGGGCTCTATTCCAGGACCCTGAGATCATGACCTGAACCAAAGGCAGCCAGCCAGCTGAGCCACCCAGCTGCTCCTAAATATTTATTTTAAAATCATAGTGTTCGCTACTTATCGCACAACAGATTCACATACATTTTTGTTTTCCTTTTTCCTGGGCGTTCAATCATCAGTGTTAGTTGCAACTTTCTCTACAGTTGCAACAATTCTCTACAGTTGCTTTTGGTAGCTTTACGGCATCACACTGTTAATAAACAGTTGTATTTTCTTTGCGGAATGGCTATGCTCCAGCACATCTAGCTGTGAATTGAAAAGTCAGGGACGCTTGGGGGGCTCCGTTGGTTGAGCGTCTGCCTTTGGCTTGGGTCAGGATCCCAGAGCCCTGGGATCGAGTCCTGCATTGGGCTCCCTGCTCAGCGGGGAGTCTGCTTCTCCCTCTCCTGCTCTCTCTGCTTGTGCTCTCTCTCGCCCTGTGTGCTCTCTCGCTCACTGAGCCACCCAGGCACCCCATTAATTTTTTTCTTTTTTTTTTTGAGTACAGTTCCATTTTAAACCATACTCAATCCCTATCTCTTTCCACCCTACACCACTTAAATTTTTCATTAGTTCATGAGGCATCGACAATGCCTTTGTCCTTTGTGTAGTCTCTTGATTAAAGCCTGGTAATACCCGTATTCAGTGGACACAGCCTGTCTCTTGAGCTCTCCAGTTTGCACGTGGCACTCAGTAAATTTCTGTTGAATTGAAATCAATTGAAAGGCCAAGATGCTGCTGGTCACCAGACGGACCCCAAGCAGGGTTCTGGCTGCAGAAGCAGAGATCCTTCCATCAGGAGAAAAGATTCTTAGCCTGGGTTCCTTAGAAAGCAGAGCTTGAGGCAAATTGTGTTCTACGGGAGAACATCCTGGGATCCCTGGACAAAAAGGCAAAGCAGGAAAGGAGGAAGAGCAAATTAAAGGTGGTGCATTTCTGAGTAGACCATAAATTCCTAAGAAACACAAGGGCTATATGTAGCCTCTGCTCAGAAACTTCCACAGGGAGGGAGGAGGTAAGACCAGTTTCTCCACTAGGTGTTAACCTTTCTGCATTTTGGGCTTAGGCACCCAGCCTTGTGGGGCAGCTGCTGAATAAGCCAGAGTCCCTGTGGGTACACCTACAGGAGCCGAGATGTCTAGGTCTCCACTGGTTTTGTAAATAAAGTTTTATTGGAACACAGCCATCCCCATTAATTTACATACCGTCCACAATCAGTTTAAGGATCAGTAAAACCCACCTGAAAGGCTCATTCCGTATATTAAATAAGACAATGGGGACACCTGGGTGGCTCAGTGGGTTAAAGCCTCTGCCTTCGGCTCAGGTCATGATCTCAGGGTCCTGGGAACGAGCTCCGCATCAGGCACTGTGCTCAGAGGGGAGTCTGCTTCCCCCTCTCTCTCTCTGCCCGCCTCTGCCTACTTGTGATATTTCTCTCTGTCAAATAAATAAATAAATACTAAATAAATAAGACAATGAACGCAGAATGTGGAGCATAGAGCCTGCCCACTGATGGGCTCTGAAGACGGTGAGATTTTGTGAATCGCCCCCTCCTCACTAATGGTGCTGCTCCCTGTACATCTCAGCAGACCCTCCATCCGCCTCCCCCTGCCTCCTGCCCTCCATTCTGTGGCAGACCTGAGGTTCTCCCCCAAAACTCAGTTCTTTATATTCAGACCTCTAGGTGTCAGGGGGTTTGCGGGGAGAAGCAGGTTGTACGAGAAACCCCCGAGCCGCCTCCAGCGGTTAGTGTGCGTGATCAAGTGTGATAGCAAGCAAGGTGTAAACTGTGCAGCAGAGTTAGGACAGTGGAGCATTTCCTGGGCGGCCCAGGATGAAAGTGCAAGGTGGAATCTGGCTGGTAAACTGGGAAGGAGGGTGGAAGGGCGGTGCACAACAAGTTCCTGAGGGTCGTGACACAGATACCTCCCCATTCAGTCTTGGCCCACTGGCTTGGCATTAGCACTGCATTTCTCATATCTGCATATTTCCAGATGTTTCCACCTCCCGAGTGTGTGTGTGTGTGTGTTTTACCTGTCTTCCTTTTCATACTGTAGTTGCACTCTAGCACATAAAAGTTTATCTGTTTATTAATTTTATTTTAAAATTTATATTTATATTACTTATTTTTTATTTTTTAAAGTTTTGTTTAAAATCAGTTAATTAACATATAGTGTGTTATTAGTTTCAGTGACCCATCAGTGGCGTACGACACCCAGTGTGCGTCATATCCCGTGCCCTCCTTCACGCCCATCACCCAGTTACTCCATCACCCTACACTGCTCCCCTCCAGCAACCCTTAGCTTGTTTCCTAGAGTTAAAACTCTCTTACGGTTTGTCTTCCTCTCTGATTTCGTCTTGCTTTATTTTTCCCTCCGTTCCCCTATGTTCATCTGTTTTGTTTCTTGAATTCCACCTAGGAGTGAAATCATACGGTAATTATCTATCTCTGATTGATTTAACTTCACCCGGCGTAATATCCTCTAGTTCCATCCGGTCAGTTTTATTTCTTAGACTCGTTGCAAGTTCCTTCCTGACAGCCGAAGTTTAGTCTCTCATCCAGCCTTCCTCAGGTTTGCTCTGAGGTCCATCTGTCGCATAATCATCTGAGCCCATCTGGCCTGGCAGTCTTCATCTGTAGTAATCCCTTCCCCACTCCTGCGCCCCCCGGGAGCCTCAGCCTTGACTCCTTGGCACCCGAGTCATCCAGAGCCCTCAGGTTTGCACGTGGGGAGCAGGGAGGCGGGCTTTGTGCATTTTGGGTGCGAAGCAGAGATGGAAATGCTGTCACACTTGTGTGCGGGTTGGCCACTCAGACCCTGGGCATCAGGGCCAGTGTACAGACCCCCCGTTGTCATTTTTATCTTTGAAAGCACATTTCGCACACTGTCCTCCGGAAGCCATTTCTGCTTTCCAAGAGCAAAGGAAGGTGGGGATCCACAGTCCAAAAACAGATAGCAGGATTCATGCTTTCTGAGGACGTGTGGGGAGTACTCCCATGATTTTGCAAGCAAGTGCATAATCCCCAAGAGCAGTTAAGGTTTTGACAATGTGGGTCTCTTCCAGAATCCTATCAAAGCAGCTGCCCCTGCTAATAGATGCGCCAAGTTGGATCCTTTTGAAGTGCTGGGGTCCGCAGCCTTTGTTAAAGGCTCGGCTGCCCATCTGGCAGTGTGTCCCTACCTGTGCCCCTACCCTGAATTCCGACAAGGAAGCCCAGACCTGTGGTAGTTGAGCCCAAGCCTTGCCTTACTTAAAATTGCAAAGCTGGCGGTGGAAATGTATTGAGCAGCTGGGTGGGAGGGCATGTGTCTGCATTTAAGTGTTTTCAACAGCTGGGGGTGGGAACAGTGGGAGGTTGCCTTCCCTTTGGTTGATTGGAAAAAACCTGGAGAGGGGCCCACTTATTGGGGTCAGAGATCATAAGGGGGGCTGCTTGGGCTTTGCCTGTGGGCCTATTAATTTATTAGATGATAAATCTGATAGGGTTTGGGGGGCGTTGTTTTAAATAAAGCTTTGGTTAGTAAAGTCATAACCTAGATGGGTTTTTTTTTCAACCTTGAGTTTTTGTTTTTTAACTTCACTGGTATGTTTACTGTTTTCATTAGTGATCATGTAATTTTTAAATTAAATTAAAAATTTTTTTAAGTAATGTCTGCACCCAGTGTGGGGCCGGAGCTCACAATCCGTGATCCACAGCCCCCTGCCCCACGGACTGAGCCAGCTAGGAGCCCAGTGAGGATATAATTTTGAAACCTTTATGCGTGCGGAAGAAAGCTTGATTTTCAGTGCGTAGTGAAACACAGAAATAGTTAAGAAATCTGAATAAACTTGAATAACTTTTAAAAAAACCATAATTACTCCTGAAAGCCTATTTGGAATGCCCAAACCTATGTTGAAGCTGAGTAAAAACGGAACACCGAACAGTCAGGTGCAAAATAGGTCTGTGTCTCGTTAGGTGAAGGGCCCCCGTCTTTGTTCAAGATTTGAATTTCCACGAAAACCCTGTCCCTGCGGGATTGTTTGCGTAGCGGCCCGAGCACGAAAGGGCGCTGTTTGAATCCCTCGCCGCAGGGTTGATGAACGTGGTCCGGTGCCCGTAACGCCTCGGAATGAGGGAGGTCGGCTCCCAACCCGGGAAAGGCTGGCAACTGAGGCACGTTTTTCTGGTCAGGTCAGTTAAGGCGAGATGGCCGTTTTGACGAAGGCTCGGGGGAAGTGGACAAAGCTGAGTCGCCCGGCCTCGGGCGCTTCTCCTTCCCGCAGCACACCCCTCCTCCCGCTTGTTCCCCCCCCCCCCCCCCTACTTCCCCCCCCCCCCCCCTCCTTCCGCCCCCCCCCCCCTTTCCCCCCCCTTCTCCCCCTTCTTCCCCCTTTCTCCCCCTCCTCCTCCGCCGCCCCCGCCCCGCCTCACCCTCGTGAGACCTCGTGGCGTTTGCGGAGGGCGCACAGCCCCCGCGGAGGCCCGCGCCTTCTCCGCACGCGCGGGGGGAGCGGCCCGGGCACATGATCCCCCCGCCCCCGGCCCGCCCAGCACCTGACTCCGGCGGGCCGCTGGGGGTCCGGGCAGACCCGAGCAGCGGCGCCAAGCACGGCCCATGGCATCCCCACGCCTCGGGACTTTCTGCTGCCCCACGCGGGACGCCGCCACCCAGCTGGTGCTGAGCTTCCAGCCGTGGGCGTTCCACGCGCTGTGCCTGGGCAGCGGCGCCTGCAGTCTGGCGCTCGGCCTCCTGCAGCTGCTGCCCCGGCGCCGGCCCGGGGGCCTCGGGGCCCTCTCCCCAGCCCCACCGGCCTCGGCGCGTTCCCCGGCCTCCGTCCGCATCCTGCGCGCCATTGCCGCCTGCGACCTGCTCGGCTGCCTGGGTAAGGCGCGCGGCCCGCTGGTTGGGACCTGCTCTGCGCCCGGGTGAGGGAGCACTGCCCGCGGGTTGCGACCTGCTGGGTCCCCGGGTGAGCGCGCTCAGCCCGCGGGTTGGGACCTGCTCGGTGCCCGGGTGAGGGAGCATTGCCCACAGGTTGGAACCTGGTGGGTGCCTGGGTGAGCGCGCACGGCCCGCGGGTTGGGACCTGCTTTGCGTCCGGGTGAGGGGGCACTGTCCCCGAGTTGGGACCCGCTCGGTCCCCGGGTGAGCGTGCACGGCCCGCGGGTTGGGACCTGCTTTGCGTCCGGGTGAGGGGGGCACTGTCCCCGGGTTGGGACCCGCTCGGTCCCCAGGTGAGCGCGCACGGCCCGCGGGTTGGGACCTGCTGGGTACCCGCGTGAGGGAGCACTGCCCGCGGGTTGGGACCTGCTTTGCGTCCGGGTGAGGGGGGCACTGTCCCCGGGTTGGGACCCGCTCGGTGCCCACGTGAGCGCGTGTGGCCCGCGGGATGGGACCTGCTGGGGTGTTCGGGTGAACGCGCACGGCCCGCGGGTTGCGACCTGCTAGATGCCCGCGTGAGCGCGCGCGGCCCGCGGGATTGGGACCTGCTTTGCGGCCGGGTGAGGGAGTACTGCCTGCGGGTTGGGACCTGCTGGGTACCCGAGTGAGCGCGCGCGGCCCTCGAGTTGGGACCTACTCGGTGCCCAGATGAGGGAGCATGGCTGGTGGGTTGGGACCTACTCGGTGTGCACGTTGGGCGGGGTGTCAGCTGCGTGCTAGGAGGGTAGACGTCGAAACCGGGTAGACGTCGAAACCGGAGGCGGCTCTCTTGGGACTGGACGGGGTGGCCAGGGGACTCAGCAAAACAGGATAGGCAGTTAAAATTACGCCCGGGGGACATTTGTTGAAGGGAATATACCAGTTTCTGATGTTCGTTATTGCAAACGTACTAGGGAAACTTTAGAAGGGGTGGTTAAGAAAACCCAGATATTGTGAGGGACCCATAATTACTCTGCTAGTGAGACTGATAGTATTTTGTGTATATACACAAAATCATTTCCAAAATGTTTAGCAGAACCAGGAAGAACACTTGATGTATATATCTCTAATATATATAAATAGATATATTTTGTCAGGCTTGGGTTTCATACCACAGGTGGCCAACTGCCTGCCCCTTTCTGAGGCCCAAAAGTTGTTTTTTTTTTTAATCAAAAGAAAAATATTTGTTTATAAATATTCCATGAAATTTAAATGACTGTGTCCTTCAGGACAGTTTGATGGGAGCACAGCTGTGCTTCACACCTGCTGGATGTCCGCAGAGGTGGATATCCGCAGAGAAATTGTGGCCCATAAAGCCTAAAATATTTTTTATCTTGCCCTTTACAGAAACTTTGCCATCCCCTTTAAACATGCATGGCAATTTTTACAGACTTCTAAGCTAGATAGTGCTGAGCGTTTGTTTAAGGGTTTATTTTGGAGAATTTCTAAGAAACACAAATCACACAGACCATATAATGAACCCCTGGACCCATGACCTCACTTTATCTACACTCCATCCTGTACCAACTCTAAACTGCATTAATGTAAAGCAAGTCCCAGGAAGTATGTACTTTTGTCTATACAGATTTCGGTATATAGCTGTGAAAGTAAGAAGGAAGTGTGTATGTATACACACGTATGTTACAGGTAGTATTATCACCTTAAAATAATGAAAATCAGTTTTTTAAAAAGATTTTATTTATTCATTAGCGCGCGTGCAAGCACAAGCTGGGGGAGAGGAAGAGGGAGAAGCAGACTCCCCACCGAGCAGGGAGCAGGGAGAAGCAGACTCCCCACCGAGCAGGGAGCACAATGGTGGGCTCAGTCCCAGGACCCTGAGATCATGATTTGACCCGAAGGCACATGCGTAACTGGCCGAGCCCCTCAGGAGCCCCAAAAATCAGTTCTTTAAGGTCACTGCTGTATGTTTAGTTGTGTCCTAAATGCTGTTTTACGGTTGGTTGGTTTGAATCAGGGTCCAGATACAGCCCACACTTTGCAGTTGGCTGACAAGGTGCTAACCATTTTGGAATTGATTTTTCAGTAAGTTTGCTTTTGAAGCAAAAGCTGTTGATGGCATTGGGCCCTGAGGGGATGGCAGCAGCTTACTCCGCACCTTGAGCACGTAGCAGTACAGGTCACTGTGTCTCAGGGCCCCGTTCTCCAGTCTGTGCTCTTGTGCCTGGAGACCCTCAAGGACCTTGACTTCCAGTAAATGCTATGGACCTCTAGTCACTTTCTCAGACTCGAGGAGTCAGACAGGAAGCAGTACTTCCTTTCTGTGAGGGATAAAATCATCTTGGTGCTCTTTAATTCAATCAGGTTGGTTTTCTTCCTGATAATGCTAAAACATTTTGAGAAAGCATCTTTTTTTGTTTGTTTGTTTTTTTAAGTTTATACGTGGGGCTCGAACCCATGACCCGAAGAGTCACCCGCCCTGAGGACCGAACCACCCAGGCACCCCTAGAAAAGTATCTCTCTTTTTTTTTTTTTTTAAAGATTTTATTTATTTGAAAGAGAACACAGAGTGAGAGTAAGAGAGCACAAGCAGGGCCAGAGGCAGAGGGAGAAGCAGACTCCCCACCAAGCAGGGAACCCCACTTGGGGCTTGATCCCAGGACCCAGGGATCATGATCTGAGTCGAAGGCAGACACTTAACCGCAGAGCCACCCAGCCACCCCTGGAAAAGCATCTTAATAGCAATTTAGGATCCGTGGAATGATATTCGTATTTACTCTCCCTTTTAGAAGGGACATACGTGGTGTTAACAAGTGAGCAGAGGCAGAATTAAGGGGAAGGCTTGGTGACTAACACCTCCCTGAAAAATAAATACTTAAAATGCCGACCTCATAGGGCAGAGGTTTTTTTCAGTTTTATTTAGATGTAATTGACATACAGTCCAGGAAAATTTAAGATCTAGAGCATAATGACTTAACATACACGTGTGGTGAGATGTTTACCACTGTAAGTCAACATTCACCTGCTCACAGCAATACGAATGTAGGTCAGGCACGTATTGAGCTCACAGGAGTGCTCAAAGCATTCTTCATACAGCATTCTGCGGAAGAAAAGCATTATTTTTGAGCAGCGCTGATAACGAGAAGATAGGTCGCGAGTTCTTTTGCTGTCCATAGTTCTTCTTTAGTGGTATGTGGCGTGATATAGACTTGGTATCGTACTTCATGATGTGTATTTGGTTATATACCGCACATTATATAGAGGACATTTTTTAAAAGATTTTGTTTGAGAGCGACAGAAAGGACAAGCGGAGGGGGGCAGGTAGTGGGCAGAGGCAGAGGGGAGGCAGACTCCCCACTGAGCAGGGAGCCCGATGCAAGCCCCCTGGGATCATGACCCACGCAGAAGGCAGACGCTCATCCGCCCGCGCTGGCCAGGCGCCCGGTGTTTGCCGGTGGATCGGATAGTGTATATCGGGCGCTAGAGTGTGCAGGGCGAGCTTGCTGGTGGGTTACAGTGTCTAGTAACGTATAATTGTGTATTTAATAGCGTCTTACACACGGTGTACGTGTGTACGAGGACACTGTGTAACTTCGTAGTGTTTACAGTTACCCTCTAGTATCGTCTCACAGAGCCGGAGCTTCCACAAAGCATATTCCGTCACCTGACGAGCAGCCTTCGCATAGATCTTACGGGTGTGTTATACTGTTTTGAGGAGAATTAGCTATTCGGGTCCAGTAGCAAAGAAAACTTAACAAAAAAAGTAGATATCAAGAGCAAGTTGCCGAGAGCTACTTTGTGAAAATCTTAAGTGCGTTTTTTCAGGGAATGAAAGAATTATCTCTTCACATTTCAGAATTGTGCTTTTGCAGTCATTTTTTTCCTGTGAGGAGTAGTTACATGGACATTAAAAATAGCGAAGAAGTAGATTGTTGTCCCCATAACGGCTGCTTCGTATGGAGTGAACAAAGAGCAACATTGGGGTAGGACCGCGGCTGATGATGGTTCAAGTCGAAATCGAAGTTCTGGGTTTGCTTTGTGGCCGAAGAAATTGGTTCCTGGGTCTCCCGTGTTTCTCCATCTCTCTGCACACACTCGTGTGTGTGTTTCTCTCCTCCCTCATTTCTTTCTCTGTCCCTTCCTAGCTGTTCATCCCTCTGTCCATCTGCCTACCGCTTCTGAGCCGGGGCACCGGGCCAGCTGCCCGCGTGGATTCGGACGGCCGCGAAGTGCTGTAGCTCGCCCGCAGCCCCGGCCTGCCTCTCCGTAGGCTCGGTCACCCCGGGGCGCTGGGGTCGGGAAGCAGGCGCTCTTCTTCCTGGCTGCTGGGAGGTCGGTGGTCAGCCTCCAGCACCTCACGATGCCTGCGTCCTTCTCCGCATGGCGTCTCGTCACGCAGGCCCCTGGTCCCGTCACACCGTCACGAGAAGGGTGAGGACAGTGTGGTATGATGTTGGGGCAGAGGCCCATGACGATGTTGGGACAACGTCCGTGACCGTCCGGTATTCTAGTTCTATTTTATTATTGTTGCTAGTGTCTTACAGTGTCTGGTAAACTGCTCTGTCCCAGGAACACACGTAGCGGAAAAACGTAGATGGGATTCAGTAGGGTCTGCGGTGCCAGCCTCCACTGGGGGTCCTGGAACGCGTCCCCTGCGGGGTGACCATATCCGCTCTTTTTCTCATAGGTATTGTGTTCCGGTCTGTGGTGTGGTTGGGATTCCCGGATTTCGTTGAAAAGCACTCCGACGGGAATGGGACGGACGTCTGGCCGGCTGTGTACTGTGTGGGGAGCGCGGTGAGTGCACCTTCCTCTCGCTCACCGTCGTCTCCCCTCTGTGCCCCTCTTAGGCTGCCATCCTCAAAGTGTGGTCTCCGGCCACCGGGGTTTGTTAGGAATGCAGATTCTCAGAGCCTGCTGCTCAGGGCCCTTGGGGAGGGGTTATCTGCCAAGTACTCAATCCTCCAGGAGCTTGTTTGCAGTGCCGGATGACGACAAGATAGATCTTACGTTTTGTAGTGTCCCGAGTTCCTTTTGGTTCCTCTTCAGGGGTATGCTGCATGATATAAGGGGGCTCCTGCCACCCGCTTCCTTCTGAGGACCGCCCTGGAGTGTGGCTGCTCTGTGCCCCCCCCTTCTGAGCACACATAGACCATCCTTACCTTAGCCTGAGCTGCCGCTAAAGCCAGCTGGCCAAAAAGAAAAAGAGAAGGCAGTTACTGATGGATTGGGTGTGTTCCGCTTGATAAAACCTGCATGGAAATGGACATCTGTATCTCGCTCTGTGCACTGCGCCAGAGCAGAATTCTCCGCTCCTCTCTCCTGCCCGCTCGGCTTCCCAGCTGCGTGTGGGGCAGCCTGGGTCTCGCCACGGCACAGCCCAGCAGGCACACCGGTCCGTGCTGCCCGTAGCGCACCGAGCCCCTTCCTGGCTGCTCCTGGGAAGCTCTTTCCGGTCCTTGCTCCTTCGTTCTCAGCGAACAGCTGCTCCTTCGCAGGCGCCGTGAGCCCTCAGGCCAGCATGGGCCTCGCAGCTGAGGCCTTCATCGTCCTGGCCTGCGAGTGTCCCGGAAGGCAGGCCTGGCCCGTGTGCAGAGGGACATCCCACCCTGGCGGCCCCAGACCGTGCACGCGTCTCTGGATGGCTTCCCTGTCCTGCTTTCCGACGTCACAAGAAAGAGGTGTCTGCCGGCTCATCTCACCGACCGGCAGTCCGCTGTCTGTTTCCAGAGCTTTGATGCAGGCTCTTCCTGTTTACAGATGTGGGTCCAGCTGCTGTATAGTGCCTGCTTCTGGTGGCTGTTCTGCTACGCGGTCGACGCCTACCTCGTGATCCGGAGATCGGCCGGACACAGGTACGTTCAGAGGGAACAAGGAGAGCTTTCTGCCCAGCTTCTGTCGTGTGAGGAAGGGCTAGGGGCACCCCGAGGGCTCTGGAATGTTCTTCAGTATGGCAGACACAGAATGTCAGCCAGCCCCTCTGCGAGAAACCTCTTTGGCCCCTCATTGGTACAAAAGGGTGAAGGCAGATTCACAATGAGGATGTTTAGACCATGATCAGTCATCCATAAATTACATGTTTGCATTCTGGACACATACTAAAGAAGAATTGGCAGGAATACAGACAGTTTTTGATGATATAAAGGTTTGAGGAGACGAGCCTTTGCGGTGCGTATTGACGTCATGCCAAACGTGGAACCGGAGTACCAGAGCTGCCAGGGGCTGCTTGGGGAGAAAGGGCCCCGTGGGTGCGGCCCGTGCATTTGTCACCGGCTGGGGAACTGTGAGCAAGTCGCTTGATCTCTCTAGACTTCCGTCGTGCTGGCCATGAAACCGTAGCGCCCATCGGGTCCCGGGAGATGCCGTGCGATGCTGCGTGTGAATGGTTGAGAACCAGGCCTGGCACATCGTGGCCTCTCGGGAGCTGTGCGCTGGGATGTGCGTGTGTGTTGGGGGACACAGATACAGAGAATCTAAGTGAGCAAGGGAAGCCGCGTGGCAGGGTGGGGTGAGCGCCCAGGTCCCCTGACTCCTGGTCCAGGAAGCATGTGTCCCCCACTTTCCCATGGAACCCTTGTTTGCTTACTTCTTTTTTCTTTTTAAGTTTTATGAAGTTCACCCGTTTAAGTGTATAAAACCCATTGATTTTTAGTTTAGTTATAAAATCGTGCAACCATCACACCAACTAATTTAATGACGTTAGTCATCAACACCCCCCCCCAGCCCCGCTCTACCAGTGATGAATTCCCCCCCCCCCCCCCCCCAGCGCCTGGCAACTGCCAGTCTGTTTGCTGTCTCTAGCTTTGCCTACTCTGGGCATTGCCTGGAAGTGAAATCATTGAACATGTGACCTTTCATTTCTGGCTTTTAAACTTAGCGGGCTGTGTTCAAGCTTTCCCCGTGTTGCAGCACCGTCTGCTCTGTGAGCTTCTGAATACTGCTCTGTTGTATGACCAACTACATTTTATTTAATTTTGAGAGACCAAGCATGTGAGCAGGGGAGTGGGGCGGCGGCGGAGAGAGAGAGAGAGAGAGAGAGAAAAGGAACAAGGAGAGAGGGAGAATGTCAAGCGGGCTCCACTCTCAGCACAGAACCTGACATGGGGCTGGATCTCATGATGCTGAGATCATGAATTGAGGTGAAATCAAGAGTCAGATGCTTAACCAACTGAGCCACCCGGGTGCCCTTGGGTGTACGGCATTGAAAAAATACATGTGTCTGTATGTGTATGTATGTATATACATATTTTTTTAAGATTTATTCATGTGACAGAGCAGCAGAGGGAGAAGCAGGCTCCCTGCTGAGCAGGGGGCACCATACAGGGCTGCATTCCAGGATTCTGGATCATGACCTGAGCCGAAGGCAGCCACTTAACCCATTGAGCCCCCCAGGTGCCCTTTAAATAATTTTTTAAGACTTTATTTTATTTTTTAATTTTTTTAAAAAGATTTTATTTATTTGACAGAGGCAGGGAGACAGTGCGAGAGGGAGCACAAGCAGGGGGAGTGGGAGAGGGAGAAGGAGGCTTCCCGCTGGGCAGGGAGCCCCGGGTTGGGGCCCAGTCCCAGGACTCTCCCAGATACGGAAGGCATCTGCTCAACAGACTGAGCCACCCACACGCCCTTAAAGATTTTATTTTAAAGATTTACTTATTTATTTGAGAGTGTGCATGTGTAAGTAGGGGGAACAGCAGAGGGAGAGGATTTCAAGCCGATTCCCCACGGAGCTTAGAGCTGGTCTTGGGGCTCCACATGGGGTGTGATCACAGGACCCATGAAATCACGACCTGAGCCGAAACCAATAGTCAGATGCTTAACCAGCTGAGCCACCCGGTGCCCTTAAGGTGCCTTTTCCCAAAATGTATGTGAGATGTCTCACCGAAGGATATTGGAAAAACAGTCTCTGGTTGCACGTAGACATGAACAGCAAAGATGTTTATGAACTGTTATTTCCAGATTAACCGGTGTGAGGAAGGGGAGGAAGATGAGGCTTAATCTGGAATATTTTGTTCCAAGGTGAAAAAAACTTGGGAACCAAGCAGAAAAGAAGAGAGTTTCAACACCGTAATTTAGATCTGTGATCCATTTTAAAAATTCTCTTTTTAACTAATGTCCACACCCAGAGTGGGGCTTGAACTCACAACCCCAAGATCAAATGGTCTTTGATCCATTATAATTATTTTTAAGATGTTGCGTATTTATTTTATTGTGGGGGGGGGAGACAAGAGGGAGAGAGACTCTCAAACAGACTCTGTACTGAGCATGGGGCCTGATGCGGGGCTCGATCCTGCGACCTTGAGGTCATGAGCTGAGCCCAAACCAAGAGTTTGATGTTTAACTGCCTGAGCCACTCAGGAGCCCTAGTGATCCATTTTAAATAAATTTTTATGTAGGTGAGGAAAGGGTCAATGTTCATGCCTTTGCATGTGGATGGCCACTTGTCCCAGCACCATTTGTTGAATAAATTTTACTTACTTATTTATTTATTTTTTAAAAGATTTTATTTATTTATTTGACAGAGATCACAAGTAGGCAGAGAGGCAGGCAGAGGGGGGGGGGAAGCAGGCTCCCTGCTGAGCAGAGAGCCCGATGTGGGGCTCGATCCCAGGACCCTGGGATCATGACCTGAGCCGAAAGCAGAGGCTTTAACCCACTGAGCCACCCAGGCGCCCCAAATTTTACTTTTTTAAGTTATTTTTTAAAGGTTTTATTGAAAGATTTTATTTATTTATTTGAGAGAGAGAGCGAACCGGAGGCATGACCAAGGGAGAGGGAGAAGCAGGCTCCCTGCTTGATGTGGGGCTTAATCCCAAGGTCCTGGGATCCAGCCATGTGTGGGGCTTCCTGCCTAGTGGGGAGTCTGCTGTTCCCTCTCCCTCTGCTGCTCCCCCTGCTTGTGCTCTCTTGCTCTGTCAGATAAATAAATACAGTCTTAAAAGGAAATAATCGTTGGTATTCCTCATGTGTCCTCATCATTAACTTGGGTTTCTCTGGCTTGAAGTTTAGTGTCTTATTTTTGTGCTTGTTCCTTCCACCTCTTTACTTTAGCTCGTAAACTTTTACTCATCTGAACAGAACCTGTATACTCGTGGTTTTGAAAATTCTCCAGGGAAGGCAGTGAAGGTCAAAGGCAACCAACCAGATAGGTCTGTGAAGATTACCTTTGGCTATGTAAAATACAGAAAATAATAGTGATTTAAACAAGATAATTTTTCTTTCATTCTAAAGGAGGCCAGAGGGGGGCGCGTGAGTGGCTCAGTCATTGGGTGTCTGCCTTCAGCTCAGGTCATGATCCCAGGGTCCTGGGATCCCAGCCCGCATCGGGCTCCCTGCTCAGCGGGAAGCCTGCTTTTCCCTCTCCCACTCCCCCTGCTTGTGTTCCCCCCCTTGCCTTGTTTCTCTCTCAAATATATAAGTAAAATCTTTTAAAAAATAAATAAATAAAAGAGGCCAGAGGTAGGCAATCCAGGGCCCTTACGATGGACATTAGGGACCCAAGTTCCTCCTGTCTTCTTGCTCTGTTGTCATATTGTGTGACTTCCAACTTCAAGGTATCATGGCCCAATACAGCTGCTGGAGCTCTAGCCATCACATCTGCATTCCAGGAAGGAGGAGGGGGCCAATGCATAAAGGTCCGATTTCCTCTGAGCCACCTCCCTTTAAGCAGCCTCCCTGGGGATGTGACACAACAATTCCACTTTCGTATTATTAGCCAGAATTTAATTTCATGGCTATACTTAGCTGCAAGAGGAGGTTGGAAGTATAGTCTGTTAGCCAAGCATGCTGCTGTTGGGCATGACATACAGGTTATGTTTCTAAGGAAAAAGGGAAGATGACTTTGGGTAGGCAGCTAGCTCCAGTGAGAGGTCTTTGACCCGGAAGCCCAGTGTAAGTGTGTGTTCCCGTCTGGGACCTCTCTCACTCAATTTTGGAGGGGTTGGAGTTAGGACACACTAGAGGTCTCACAGCCAGTTGTGGAGATAAGAGGAGTGGTGGAGCCGGAAAGGAGGCTGGAAGAAGAATGTGCCTCCTGCTCTCACAGGGTGTGCACTGCTCTGCCCCCGGTCATGGACGGCTGTGGTCAGACGGGGCAGCCTGAGAGCTTTCTGGACGTAGAAGACAGGCGGCGCCCTTGGAAGCCAGGGCAGGCAATCTGGAAGGCCTCCTCATGCCCAGAAGAGTGTTTGGAGCTCATTGTGCAGAGATGAGCAGATGCTGGCGGAGCATAGCTTCCAAGGACCTGCCAGTCAATCAGGAGGCAGACCTCCAAAGACGTGAAACGTCCAGATGCTTCCTAAGGACAAGAGCAAGGGCAGGGGTCCAGCACTAGGAAGACCATTGAGAGTGAAACAGGGTCTCCCATCACAAAGGAGTAGGGATGGGGCTCCTGGGTGGCTCAGTCGGTTAAGCCTCTGCCTTCGGATCCGGTCATGATCCCAGGGTCCTGGGATCGAGCCCCGAGTCGGGCTCTCTGCTCGGTGGGAGCCTGTTTCTCCCTCCCCAACCTGCTTCTCCTCCTGCTTGTACTTTCTCTCTCTCTGTCAAATAAATAAATAAAATCTTTAAAAAAAAAGAGCTACCTGGGACAGATCCAAGGCAGGGCCCAGACATTGCAGGTAGGGCTGGACTAAACGACACGTTCCCTTCGAGATCCTTCCAGTCCTTAGCTATTTCTTTGGCACTGGAGAATCTTTTAAAATCCTAATCCTAAGAAATGTCATTAAGACCAATTCAGAGTTAAAATTTAAACGGCTATGTTGGTTCCTGATGTGGGGTGTACAAGTTTTAAACAACTATAACAGAAGGCGCTTGAGGTTTTGGGAAAAGCCCTAAATTGCGTTTTTTGGTTTTTTTTTTTTTTTTTTTTACGAATTTTTATTTATTAATTTGACAGACAGCGAGAGAGGGAACACAAGCAGGGGGAGTGGAGAGCCGAGCAGGGAGCCTGATGCCGGACTCGATCCCAGGACCCTGGGATCATGACCTGAGCCGAAGACAGATGCTTAACGACTGAGCCACCCAGGCGCCCCTAAATTGAACTCTCTACTTGCTCTGTGGACATGAGTGTGAGAGGAAGGGGGCCTGGGGAGGGCCCTTGCGTGCCTGCACCTGGACACTGTCTGGTTGTCAGATAAAGGGACGGGGATCTGCAGCCTCCCGCTGCCCTTCATTGTGGGTGCCCGGGAGCTCAGACTCATCCCGGGTGTGGGTTTGGGGTTGTATCTGTTACTGAAGTGCCTGCCATCCACGCAGCCTGGCCAGACTGACTAGAGCACCATTGCCTAGTCTGGCCTCACCCCCTGGCCTGCTGTCGCCCACCTCTCAGTACCCCTGGCTCCCTCCTGCCCAAGGTGAGGGTCTGTAATGCAGACCTTCTGCACTGTTCAACCACCCGGGCCCCCGCAGAGAGCTGCTCCTTTTTCCCTCCGTTCGTTCCATGCGGAGCCTCTGACGTCTGGGCCAGACGCGCCCCACCCTCTCCCAAACCGGGAGAGACGGGGCAGGGCCGCTCCAGGACTGGCAGGAGCACACGCTGGAGTCGTTGCCTTGCGGCCTTCTGGAGAGCTGGCTGTGAAAGGTTTCTTTTCCTGAAGCCCACCCCTGTGTGCCATCTCTCTCCTGTCTCTGAGGAGGGCATCCCTTCGCGCGGGTCCTGCCCTGTTCCTTGTCTATGCAGCTGATCTTCAGAGTTAAAATCCCGATGGGTTGGGGGTTGCACAGTTTGCTAGGAGGCTGGCAGAGTCTTGGGTTGTGGCTAGCGCGTCCCATGGATCGCTGCAGCCCCGTCCCGTGGCACAGGGGAGGCACAGTAAAGGCTGCGCGGGCGCCGTCAGATAGTTGGGCAGCCGTGCGCCGGACCCCAGCTGCAGGGCTGGCTGCCTCCGTTCTGCAGGGAAAAGGGCGCTGTGTGGGGGCATAGGAGGATGAAGGCTGGAGATGGTCGGGGAATGGGAAGTTTGCCGTGAATGGTGGGGCGTGGGGGAGGAAGGGAAGCTCCCCATGCTCCTGGAACAGCAGATGCGCGCGTGTTTCTTTGGAGACCTTGGTTTGGACTGAGCATGGAGACGCTTGACTTGTAGGGATAGGGGTGCCTCTGGGAAGGTTTGGGGATAGGAGCTCCTCTCCTAGCAGGTGAGCTGCATGCTTAGGAGGACCGGTGAGGTGTCCGTGCCTTGTTCGCTCACCCTTGCAAGCCTCGTGGTGGGAAAGAAGCCAGACGCAGAGGGCGGCATGCTGTGTGACTCCCATTTGCCTGCATCGTGCAGAATGGGAAACACCACAGAGACACAGAGGAGGCTGGTGCTTGCTGGGGGCTGTGAGCAGGAGGAACGGGGGGAGGCCTGCCTGATGCGCGTGGCGTTTCCTTCCGGGGTGATGAGGTTTCCGAGCTGGATGGGGGAGATGGTTGCACAGCATTATGAGTTTACCCACTGCTCCTGATCTGCTCACTTGAAAACGGTTACTTGATGTTCTGTTTCTCTCATCTCAATTAAACAAAAGCCCAGAGGCCTGATAAGGCAAGTCTCGGCCAAGGGTTTGCTCAGGGTACGTTTTCCTGACTCTTCAGGTGGCTGGGAGTGGGTCTGGTACTTTCTGTGGCTGGACACGCCCATCCTTCCTCTCAGGCAAGGCCCCCGTCTGCTTCCCCCACAGCACGATGCTGCTCTACCGCCTCGCGGCCTGGGGCCTGGCCGCCCTGCTGTGCGTGGAGGGTGCCGTCCTGCTCTACTCCCCGTCCGTGTCCAGGTAAGCTGGGGCTCCAGCTCCCGGGCCCCTCGGGATCCTGCGGACGGGGCATGGGCACGGAGCCAGAGTGGGCCCCTCACAGGCCAGGCTCTCATGTGCAGAGCCGCCTGGCGGCCTCCCGGCGGGGTGGGGGCGCCCATGACAGTGTGCTCTGCAGCTCACGTCCCAGCCTCTGCCCTTTGCGTCCGGGCGCTGGGCAGTTGTGCACACAAGTGCGTGTGCAGGGCTCCAGGTGCGTCTCCTTCCGGGATGGGTGTGCACACGGCTCTAGGTGTGTCCTCCCCACGGAGGGGGCTTTCGCAGGCCCACACTGTATTCTCCACGCTAGCTGCCTCCGCACCAGCAAGGGCGGTGACCGTCCTGAGGAGGAGTTCGCATCGTCGGGGCGAGTCCCGAGCGTTGCTCTTGGGAGAGCTAATTCTGAGCCTCCGCTAGTCTCACCTTGTCACTTCGCTCCCAGCTGTCGGCTGTCCTGAACAGATACAGGGAGAGAGTGGTCTAAAGTGGTCTCAGCTTCTTTTTCAACCCAATACCTCATCCGTGCGGGGGTGCTGGGGTGGCTCAGTCGGTGCGGCATCTGCCGTCTGCTCAGATCCTGGGATTGAGCCCCTTGTCTGAGCAGGGAGCCTGCTTCTCTCTCTCCCTCTGCTGCTCCTCCTGCTTGCGCATGCTCACTCGCTGTCTCTGTCAAATACATGAAATCGTAAAACACACAAGCAAAACAGTATGTCTCATCGATGCAATCATTTGGAAGGCATGGTGGTTCCTCCAAGTATGTATATTCTCACTGCCAGTGGAAAGCTGAAAAACAGGTTGGACATTGTCTCTTTGTGATTTTAGGGCAGTGTAGACAAGGATCGATAGAGCACAGCCCTGAGAACACATCCGGCCCTCTGCTTGGTTTTGTAAATAAAGTTTTATTGAAACACAGTCATGGGCATTTGTTTATGCCCGATGTATAGCTGCTTGCGTACTGCAGTGTCCGTTCCGACGGGCTGTGTGGTCCATGGAGCAAAAAATACTTCTGTCAGTGTTCCCTGACAGAAGAAGTTTGCTGACTCATGGTTTTCTATTTTTCCCCTCTTTTTTTTTTTTTTTTTTGACTTCTTGCAGTTACTTAGTTAGATGTCTCCAGATTGGTGTTGCCTAGTTGAAGGTCAGTGCTCCCAGAGTCGTGGGTCTGTGCACCCACACAGCTGCCCTTGATTGGAAAGGGAGTTACTGTCCATCAGCTTCACCCGTGGGCTCCGGGAGCCTCCTGGGAAGGTTGCATCTGAGCGTGAGGGAGCCAGTGGCGCAGGGCTCATGAGAGGCTGTGCGGCGCCCCCATGGTCCTGAGGAGGCCGCTTCTGGGCCTGTGTCCAGCTCTCATCCTCACCCTCTCCTTCGTTGCTCACTTTTTTGCACTTTCTAGCATTTCCCCCTTCCACATTGACCGCGCCACGCCTGTTACAACAAGGGCTCCCGCGTCTTCATCGCCCCACCTTCCGGGGCCGCAGGGGCCGTCCCCTAGCTGGTTTGCTACCTCCTGCGTGCCTGGGGCAGTCCTCTCTCCCCTTTGCCTTTGATTCTCCCTTCCTCTTGGCCCTTTTTTCTCTTCCATGATGCATTTCTTCGCTGATGGCTCTGACCTTGGTAAACCCACACCTATGTGTGGCCCCTGCGTCACGGGCTGACCGGCGAGTCCCATGATCCCTCAGTAGGAATTCCCGCCCTTGAGGACTCCTGCCTGTGTGGCCCCGGGTGGTTAAACCCTCGCCTCCTGCTTGTGACCTCTTTTTCTCTCTCTCTCTCTTATACTCTAACAAATAAATTTTTTAAAAAAGACTTTATTTATTCATTCATGGGGTGGGGGCGGGATACAGGGAGAAGCAGGTTCCCCATCATGCAGGGAGCCCACACGGGGCTCGATCCCAAGACCTGGGATCATGACCTGAGCCGAAGGCAGACGCTTCCCCGACTGAGCCACCCAGGTGCTCAAAATAAATCAAGTCTTAAAGAAAAAATTACAGTCCTTCCTGAAAAGCACCCGTGAAATGATTGTGAGGCACAACCGTGGAACACGTTTGTTCTGGAACATGAAGCTTGGGTATTTCGGGGTGCTCTGGGGGCGGGACTGGATCTTCTTCCCAGGGCTGGCCAGGCACGGTGCAGAGCAGGTTCCTAAAACCTCACTACTGCACTGAGCGCCTCTGTCTACTTGAACAGTGTCTTTTTTTTCCCTTGAGGAGACCCAGGGTGGGGGCTCCCCCATTCCAATGTGTCTGTTTCTGTCTTTCCCGGCAGGGCCCTTTAACAGGTCCCCCCGTGGAATGCCTTAGAGGCCCTCCCGACTTCAGGACCGCTGGAGCCCTGATGGAGCCGCCTTTCTCTCAGTGCTCCCTTGCTTACTGGCGGACAGGAGCTACTGCCGGGTTTCCGTTGGGCCGGCTCCAAAGTGGATTTATGCATTTCCCTGGCCGCTCTCCTGTTCTTATCTCGGTTTCCAGATAAGTCTGTATGTTTCGGCAAAGCCCTGTTTTCCTGAACGACTTGTTTCCTCCCACAGGTGTGAGCGAGACCTGGAGCACGCCGTCCCCCACTACGTCACCACGTACTTGCCGCTGCTGCTGGTCTTCGTGGCCAACCCCATCCTGTTCCGGAAGACCGTGACCGCGGGTGAGTAACAGGGAGCGCTCCAGGGGCGGGACCATGGGGATACGGCTCTGTGCCTTGGGCTCACGTGGTGGCAGGTGTCGTGCTTCTGGAATCACTGGGACAGTTGCCCTCATCGGTCCCCCTCCAGAGACGGAAGCACAGGACACGGGAGCGGGAGCGCGTGTGATAATGGCGGTGAGCAGGCCCCTTCAGTGCTGGGCTCCCATCTTTGCCAGCGTTGAACAGCTCTAGACCAGGACCAGTGGACTTTCCGTCTCCGTTGGGGCTCATCGTGGGTCTGCGCTTGGTGTGCCCTGCACGCCCCGGGCATGCCCTTGGAAAACTGTGGAGTTCCGATGGGGCTGGGGGATGAGTCTGGGCTGAAGAGTGGTGAGTCTGGCTACTCCCAAGATAGGCTTGGCTTGTGTCTTTCCTCGGTCGGGCAGGAAACAGGAAGTAGAGCATAGGAAATGAGTCAAATGCAGTGCTAAGAACTGGATAAGAAGGATGTTGTGAGCCAGCAGAAAGCCCTGGAAAGGCCTCTACTGAGACTGGGGACTTGGCATTGCAGTCCCCAACCGCATCCTCATGGGAGTGTGACCCGGAGCAACCTCCAGCCTTAAGCCCCGGCCATCCCTCAAGTGCAGAGTAAAAATGAGGAAGTGCGGGGCGCCAGGGTGGTCAGTCCGTTAAGCCTCCTGGGATCGAGCCTTGTGTCATCTTGGGGTCCGGGCATCCAGCCCTGCATCATCAGGGTCCCTGCTCGGGCAGGGGGGGTTCTCCTTCTCCCTCTGCTGCTCCCCCAGTGTGTGCACGTTTTCTCATTCTTAAATAAATGAGATCTTTAAAAAAGAAAAAAAGTGCATCTTAATAGGAGGTTGATTGAAGATGAGCTGTTGACTGTAGAACTTTTAAACATTCAAAGGACTCTACCAGAAGGAATAGGAAATCATTGTATATACACCACATCTTCTTTATCCATTCGTCTGTTGATGGACATCTAGGTTCTTTCCATAGTTTGGCTATTGTAGACATTGCTGCTATAAACATTGGGGTGCACGTGCCCCTTTGGATCACTACATTTGTATCTTGGGTAGTAGTATCAATTTGTAAATACCCAGTAGTGCAATTGCTGGGTCGTAGGGTACTTCTCTTTTCAACATTTTGAGGAACCTCCATGCTGTTTTCCAGAGTGGTTGCACCAGCTTGCATTCCCACCAACAGTGTAGGAGGGTTCCCCTTTCTCCACATCACCCGGCATCAGGGAAATACAAATCAAAACCACAATGA